TGGAGTGGACTACCAAGAGACTTTTGCTCCCTTTGCTAAGCTTAATAGGGTTCGTGTCCTTATATCTCTTGCTGCTAATTTAGATTGGCCCTTGTTGCAATTTGATGTTAAAAATGCTTTCTTGCATGGTGATCTCAAAGAAGAAGTGTATATGGATTTACCACCTGGTACGTCCATTGCTTCCCATAAGGGTGTTGTGTGCAAGTTACGCAAAGCTTTATATGGCTTAAAACAATCTCCTAGAGCATGGTTTGGGAGGTTTACTGCATCCATGAGAAAGTTTGGTTACATACAAAGTCACTCGGATCATACCTTATTTTTTAAACGGAGAAAGGGTAAAGTGATGACATTGATCATATATGTTGATGATATGATAGTGACAGGTGATGATCATGAAGAGATTAGCTCTTTACAACAATATCTTGCTTCTGAATTTGAAATGAAAGAGTTGGGTGAATTGAAGTATTTTCTTGGGATTGAAGTTGCTCGATCCAAGCATGGTATATATCTTTCCCAAAGGAAGTATGTTTTGGACTTGTTGGCTGAAACTGGTATGGTAGACTGTAAGCCTATTAGCACTCCTATGGAACAAAATCATCAATTGGGGTCATATACTGATCAGGTTCCTACTAATAAGGAGCGTTATCAGCGACTGGTGGGAAGATTAATTTATTTGTCTCATACGCGTCCAGATATAGCCTATCCTGTAAGCGTTGTGAGTCAGTTTATGCATCTGCCTAGTGAGGCTCATATGGATGCTGTTGTACGTATTCTCAGGTATCTTAAATCCGCTCCTGGTAGGGGTTTGCTATTTTCCAAGAATGGTAATTTGAATATTGAAGGCTACACAGATGCGGATTGGACTGGTTCAGTTATAGATCGACGCTCTACGTCTGGCTACTTTACTTTTGTTGGTGGCAATCTCGTCACCTGGAAAAGTAAGAAACAGAAGGTTGTTGCTCGGTCGAGTGCGGAGGCTGAATTTCGTGGAATGGCGCATGGGGTATGTGAGTTACTTTGGTTGCAAAAGTTATTGAATGGCCTTGGTTTCAAGTCCGAGAAAGCCTTGGTGTTACACTGTGACAATAAATCTGCGATTGAAATTGCTCACAATCCTGTACAACATGACCGTACAAAACATGTGGAGATTGATCGGCATTTTATTAAGGAAAAGTTGGATGCTGGAGTTATTGCTTTTCCTTTCGTACCATCTGAGCAACAGTTAGCTGACGTCCTTACTAAGGCTGTCTCTGTTAGTGTTTTCTCCAATTCGCTTGACAAGTTGGGCATGCGAGATATCTTCGCGCCCATTTGAGGGGGAGTGTAGCGATTTGTATAGATTAATTAGCCGTATTTAGGGTTCTATTTGTTTCCCTGTATAGTTTACTTACTTGTATAGTACTCTTTGTAAACCCTATTTATACTCTACTCTCAGAGAGAATAATATACATGATTTTACCCATATACTGTTTAACTAGATGATTATAGATGAATACACACACACACGTGAAATCTAAAATCCCTAATTGATAGAAATCGATGAAGTTTATTGAAAACTAACCCCGCGAAATGGACAAAAATCTTTGTAGTTAATTGAATAGAGAAACCTTAAAATTCTTAATTGATAGAAACTCCAAAATGGAAGAATTAAAAATTGAAAAAAGAGTATGATAAAATTTTCGTTTTGCACTTGATTCGAGTTTCTTAATAGAAGATAAACCATTTGAGAAACCCCTTAACTCGACATATCTCAAAAGTCCAACAAAATCCTAGATTAGAGGAAAAAGTGGGGTCCTCAAAGATGCACAAAGAAAGAAGCAAGATGATACTAATGGAGTTTGGTCAGACTTTTTCTTCATAAACCTTAAACCCTAAACCATTGATTTGAAGATGAGGCACTTCCTCTTTACACCTCATAGAAATTTCTACCCATGATCATTGGACAATACTCGTTTTTGAAAATGGTGGCGAAGATGAACTTGTGAGACGAACATAGGATTTTGATTTTGATTTGGATTTTAAGTAGAGAGTGTGGGGTAATGTAGAAAGTGTGGGGTGTGAGGATAGTATTGGAAAGTATGTGGAGCGTATTAAGATAAATTTTAGTTTACAAAGTAAATGTGGCATGTATTAAGTATATGAGGTGTAATCAACAAAACGTGATGTGTCAATAAAACAACCCAAAATGTATGTTTATATTTTTTTAACATAAAGGTGTTTTCCACCTCTAAAAAAGAGAGAATAAATAAGATTTTGATCTTACATATCTTCTACTAGAATAAAACTCACATTTACATATCCTAGAAATGTAAAAATGATGTAAATAGGAAGTTCAACTTGAGTAAGAAAAAAATAAGGGAGCTTTAACAAAAAGCTTTCAGTGCTGTTTACTTTAATAAAAAACCATATCTTTACACTAAAAAGTCATTTCTGGTACTATTCACTTTACCCTTTATTTTGTCATTATCGTTAAAACTTAAAGTTTTCAAGCCATTTTCATTAGTTTTCCTAAAAATTAATAATTTTACGGTCTTTAATTTGACTGGTGTAAATAGGAAGTTCGATATTACATTACTATTGTATAGATACCCTAAGAGCAATTCCACCCCTAAAAAAATGCACCAGCACCCAGTCTATTTAATCTACTCAATGAACAGTGATAGACCCCAATGTACAGTAATATGCTAAATGCATATCCCCCCCCCAAAAAAAAACAAAATAGCATGGTCAATTTTATTAAAATATTATTAATTTTTGACAAGTTCTCCTTCTTCACACTTTTCTCAAAAGGGTTTCTCTGGATTCCCTTCTTCTTTTTCTTCCCAGATTTTCCAACTATAAGGTCAAGCACAGTTTCACCACTTTTTCTTCCCTTCCTTTTCTTCTCTTCAAACTGCCAAACATGTGAGATTAACCAAGTTTTGCCCGACCCGAATTCAAAGACAGGGGAAAAATTGAAGCTTTCTAGAGGTGGAAAGAGATAAAGATAGAGAGGGAGGGTTTTGGATATGGAAGCTCGAGTTGGGGTGTTGGTGGAAGGAAAACAGAGAGCTTCGAATTCAGCTCAGGGAGGTGTGGCGGTATCGCCTGGCGTCATGTAGGCCAGGCAAGGGCTCAGCCAATAACTAAAATATAGATAATATTGGCGAAATATCGTCGATATTATCGTTTTTCAGAAAGATCGATATTTTCCCCGTATCCCCCTAATTGTCGCCAAAATATCGCGATATTATTGATAATATCGCGATATATTCGATATTATCGAAATAATCATCGTGGCTCCGTCGTCAGAAAGGTAGACGAGGCTGCGTCGTCGCAGCTGCCCAGATCTCTCTCTGCAATCCAGGCTCAGACCCAAGATTTGCGCCTCCGTCATCGGAAATGAAAAATCCATTTTCTCTGGATCCCAAAACCCGCTCGGGTTTGAATCAAATCGTTTGATAGATCCCATTGCCTGATGGTGGTCGCCGGGAGGTGAGAAAGGGAGGAGGAACGGTCCACATGTGGTGATGGTGCTCGCCGAAGTGTGTGCTACTGTGGTGCTCGGCGGGTGTGGGTGTGGTGGTCTGTGCTCCGGGGAAGAAGAAACAAGGAAATGAATGAGGGAGAAGGCTCAAGGGATTGGGGAATGGGGAAACACGGGGAAGTGGAGTGTGTGTGTGTGTGTGTGTGTGTGTGTCTGCTCTGGGAAGAAGACTTGTAGAGATGAGATGAGAGGAGAACTGGAGATGAATGAGGAGAGGAATGAGGGACAAGGAAGTGGTCTGTGTGTGTGTGTGTGTGTGTGTGTGTGTGTGGAAGTGGGGTGTGTGTGTGTGTGTGTTATCTGAGAGAAGAAAAAAAAATCCAAACCTGCTTTTAAAATATCCAGCCCATGTGTCAGTCTGTGTGTGTTATCCGAGAAAAGAAAAAAAAATCCAAACCTGCTTTCAAAATATCCAGCCCACGTGTCAGTGATCATGAGGTTTGGTCTTCAATATATTCACCCTACTTTTTGAAGCTACTGGAAATGTCTTCCATTTTGTTTCGTCTCTTTTCCCTTTGATTTGCTCTCTCTATCTCTTCGTCTGTCTGTCCGTTTTGATTTCCCTACCCTTCATATCTCATTCTTGTTGGGATGGAATCGAGCGACTCATGGAAAGAATCTGAGACTCGGTCTTCAAATGATTTTGCTTATGGACAACGTCAACCAATCTTGGATCCATATGGGTGGCATGTTAACAATTACATGCAAAACTATTTTGGGGATTTATCATTTGATGACTACTCTTCACAATACACTTACTCTACGTATAGAGATGATGAAGATAGTCAGAATTTTGAACATTGTAGGAACTCTATGTGGTACTAAGTCACTCATATATCTTACCATGCAATATATAAAGTGTAAAATATTGTACTAATTCTTTATATATAAATGATTATGATGTGTTTAAACTTCTTTGATTAATTACTACATATTTTCTACACTCCCAATGTTTACCAGCTCGCTATATAATCAACTTAAATCAGTTAAATCCATCATGCAATGCATTTCCTTCCAATTTTTTGTGATAAACTAATAGATAATTGACTAAATAAACATTCTGCAAAGTTTCAATAAAAATTTCCAAGTTTTTCTTACAATTTTCGTAGTTTTTATTCAATTTTTATCGATATCGATAATATCCCGATATTTCCATCGAAATTTTTGTATTTTTGGACTACCGATATTTCCGATCATCGATATTTAATACCGCTCAGCACATTCTAAGTCGGTCTAGAGACCAGCTTAGGCTGGGTGCTAGCCTATCTGCTCGGCTGGAGTGGATTGGCTGGGTGCCGGCCTAAAGGTTCCCAGTGGAACTACTCTAATCACTCTCTCACCCTATGTTTTTATTTTTCTATTTTATTTTATTCTTATATTTATTTTATTTTTATTTTTATTATTTGGTATAATGAACCTTTTAAATAAATTTACCAATTTGTCCTTTTTCCTTTTGTTTTGTTGAAATCGTTTTTGCAGTTGACGCATTCTTGGTAAAGACGCGCGCAGTCTGCAATTGCAAGTCCTGAAATCAACCGGCGGCCTTTCTCATCTTTCTCGGTCAGACAGAGAGTCAGAGGAGTGAGAAACAGTACAGAAGGAAGAGAGAGAGAGAGAGAGAGAATGGAGGTACAGTGGATTCTGGTGTGCCATGGTTTAGTCACACTACTCGTTCTAGTTTCCTTCCTCTGCGGCCAATGGCCCATCTTTGACGGCACCCCCATACAACGCATCAACCACTTCCTCACCTTCGGCGCCTACGATTACTTCCAGTTCAGCACCCTCTCTCTCTCTCTCTCTCTCTCTCTCTCTCTCTCTAAGATTTAATTTCTGATATTTCTGTGCAGACGGTTTGTTGGGTTTGTGTTTGGAGCCAGGGGTACTAATGCCATAGCCTCCGTGGAATATTTATGCTGTGATCGACCCAATCCAATCTTACAGGTTCCTTTTTTTTCCCAGAAACGGAATTGTCTATGTGTTGTTTTTGTGATTGAAATTTGGAAATTTGGAAATTTGGGTTCTGGTTGGTTGACTTTGTTCATAAAGTTGTAAATTTTTGTGGGTTTTTTGGGAATTGGATCTGTGGGTTCAATTATGGTTCATTCGGGGTTACAGTGGTGCTGCTTTTGGTTAAATATGAACTCTGTTTTATTGGATGACCCATCGAAAGGTTTGGTTTTTCGTGTTATGGATGTGCATTTGCAATGGAATTTTCGTGCGATTTGGTAGTGCATTTTGTTAAATTGCTGGTTTTTTTTCTTGCTTAGAGTAAGCAGGAAATGAGAAATCTTTAGGGAGGAGGCAAATTGTGAGGAAATGTGGTAAGAAATATTCGAGGAATTTGAGGATGGAGGATCTGATGCTCCCAAGTTACGGTATTTCAAGTTAGCGATGTATGAATGTGCTTAAAGTTGGTAAATTTGAAAGAATCATTAGGAATTGGTCAATGGTCAGTCACTAGGATCTAGGTGGTTAAATGCTGCAATAGAAGAAGAAAAACTAGGTGTAACGTACGAGTGCCTTCGATTTTTACGCTGAGTGATTTAGAAACTAGGAACTCTTTTTCTCTCTGTCTTTGATTCGGGATTAATCATTAGCTTTCTGCTTCATTGCAGTTCATGTATCTTGCAATAGTAGGAGGAACCTATTACTTAGTTGCAACTTCTTCCTTCAGTTACATTCCTGGCTATTATATTAGTGAAATTCACAGGTACGCATCAAAGATTAAGTTTACGTAAAGTCTTCTTAGTACAGGATCCTCTAAGCAAGTTTGTTTATTTCAGGTATGCAAGCTTGTGGGCTGTTGGTGTTGGTGTTCTGCTCTTTCTATTAGCTAGCTTTTCTGATCCAGGAACAATAAGGGCTGATAATGTTTCTCTGTATCTCTCTGCTTATCCCTATGATAATATTATATATTCCGAGAAAGAATGTTCAACATGCAAAATTCCGAAGTTAGTTCTCACCCTCAATGACTTATTTGATTCTTTCCATGGTTTTCGTTTTTTTTATGTAATCTCTGTTTCTTCCTTCTCTTTTCTTAATTTCCTTTTTTCTTGTCCTTCTTCTTCTGTGGTTCAGACCTGCTAGGTCAAAGCATTGCAGCGTATGTGATCGATGTGTTGCCCGTTTTGATCATCATTGTGGATGGATGGTCTGGAACGCTCTTAACTATTCTTCTTTTTTCGTCCATTCCCTCCTTCATATTTGGACATTCCATTTGTTGCTTATTGTAAATTTGACACCACTGTTTGATAACAGAATAATTGTATAGGTGAGAGAAACACCCAGTACTTCGTAGCTTTTCTTTTGTGGTGAGTTCTTCTGTCTGATGCAGTAAGTGAATGTTTATTTGTGTTGTATGGCCTTTTGTTTTATCCACCGCCTATGCTTCCCAATTAATTTATTACACATGTTGATAGGGATTTTGTTGGGTAGCAATGTTTTACGGTTTGATAATGTGCTTACTGATAATCGAGGTTACCATCTAGAATCTCGTTTGAAATTTAGCAATCCTTTCTTGGTGTATCATGTTGACATGAATAAAGATAAAAAAAAACTTTTAGAACTTACGTTCTATTATGAGGTTTTAGGGCGTGCAATTTTCCATTTCACTCTTGAAATTCACAGCAAATTACACTGGAGAAACTCCAAGCCACTGTCTTAAAGTCACTAGTCTAAATGCTCAACCAATTTTAACTTTATTATAGCTGTGAGGTTATATGTTGTTTTCGTTTATTTGTGTGTTTGTTATCATTTATCTAGTGCTTTTTCAGGCACACTTTACTTTGCATATATGGAACAGTGGCCATTGGGTTAATTCTTGCTGGACAAGTTAAAGAATACAAAGTTATTGAAATTCTAACTGGTAAGTTGATTTGGTAAATTGAGTTTCGCACCAAGCCTCCTACTTGATGATAGTGTTGCATCTGAAGTTCTGAACCTAACTGGCGTTCCTTTCCCTAATTCTTCATTGCAGTTTATTATGGTGTAGATAATTCTTTTCGCGGTTTAACACCACATGTTGTGCAGGTAAGTTGATTTGTTTTGTTTTGGCGATTGAGACGAGCAGTAGCTTCCAATGATATTGTGGTTGTTATCTATAGGACATTAAAGTAAATTTCAGTTGAGAAAATAATTCAAATGTCTAAAGTTTATTACTTTTTTGTGCATTCTTGTTCTCTGCACATTTCAAAAACGTTTCCATAAGCATACATTAGTGAAAAAACTTGTATACTCTGTTCATTGTCAAGCTGATTTACTGCACTTCTGGTGATCCCTTGCTATTATTGTGTTTCTGGACACGAAAGAGACCATCTTTACATGGAGATGAGGCTGCTTGTGCTGGGTGTTTAACTTTTCACTTTGAATTTGTAGAAAAGGCCTAGTCAGTCTTCACTGTCCATGATGTCTCCAATTATGAACTGTAGCTTTGAGTGTTGCTCATTGCATTGACCATTGTTTCGGCTTTTCCGTGTCGTTGATTGCTTAATTTTGTTTTTCTGATATGTGACAGTGGTTGTTGGGGGACTACAACACTCAAATACTTCTTATGGTGTTTCTTGCAATAGTTGCACTGCTATTGGCGGGTTTCTTTGGTTACCATGCAAAACTTTGTCTCACAAACACTACAACTAATGAGGTCTATTTCTCTCTCCGACTTTGTCCAATAATTTATTTTGTTAATATCTTGGTAAAGTTCCAAAGAAGGGAAGGACATAGAGGTAATACTTAATCAGGCGGGGATGGTTCATTAGGCTTCGCCGCTGCAACAGAAGAACTCCCCGGAAAAAGAAACTTTTAAAGAACGTGGCTTCTTTCGTTGCTGAAACAGTGGAACTTATCGTGTGTACTTCTTTTGAAACAGACGTATAAGTGGCAAGACTACGTAAGTTGGCAGAAGAAGCTAAATGAAGCAAGGGCGAGTTCTGTGGCACTCAAAGCAAGTATCAGTGGGATAAGTAGTGAAAGAAAACCTCCAGAGAGCAAATGGAGAGCCATGTTTCGAAGATCCCCACTCGAAGATGCAGAGGTTGTGGTTAAGAATAACATTTACGATAAAGGATTCTTCCTGAATATTCTCGAGGTCATTGTTCCCCTCTCGAGCAGACTGCGTGCTTCCAGAACCAAATCAAAGTCTGGCTAAGAAAGACTGCTGGCCTGTCAATGTTGCATGCTTGCTTCTCGTTTCCTCCACCAACTGAACAGCTTCATAGCCTGTTCTCGCAAAACTTGTCGTGCTTAGATGGCCAGCAACAGCAAGAGACGGGGGCCTTGTGCGGATCTAACACCATCAGATGCTTGTTCTAGCCTTCTGTAACATTATTGATTCTTGCAGATGCCTATGGGCTATGTTATCTGATATTTAGTTCTCCCGTTGGGAGAATTTTACGTGTAGCGTCACGTGATGAGAGAAATACACATCTGATATCTCTTTATATAAAACTGAAAATAGTTAAGAATCTCCGTTTTCATTAAATCGAGAATAGCTAAGAATCTCTGTTTGCGCTCTCGAGTCACGCTTGCTAGATAGGAAAAGCTTGTATTTTTGTAGCTGCTGAAAAAGAATCAAGAGCCCTTAAACTAAATTTTGTAAACTAAATGATATGGAAGTTGATGATTGAATTACTACTTAAACGTTGATAAGCGTACTCATTTCCTATTGTAACACATCATTTAGTTTGCAAATTTCGTCCCTGCATTACTCGTGAATTAAATAGGAAGGAATTTAAAAAACACGAAAGTAAAGGGGCCAATTGAAAACAACCGAAAAAAACAGGGAGCTGAACCGAAAACAGTTAATTTTGCCCCCAAAACACACTGACTTGGTACGTCGTCGTATAATCGCCATTGGAGTATCTCCGAGACCATTTCTTCTTCGTCTCAATGCTTCTCTTTGATTAACTTCTTGGGAACCAAAGGTTAAATCTCGTCCCTTCAATTACCAATTTGTCTCTGCAAATTTTGAAAATTTCGGTTTATTTTTTCAGATTTAATCGAATTTTTGAAATTTAATTTTGTGCAGAAGCTTGTTAGGGTTTCTACGATGATATACACGGCGATAGACACCTTCTACCTGACCGACGAGCAGCTACAGAATTCGCCGTCGAGAAAGGACGGGACAGATGAAGCCACGGAGACCACGCTCAGAATCTACGGCTGTGATTTGATCCAAGAGAGCGGAATTTTGCTCAAATTGTATGGTGTTTCCATTTTTCGTTTGTTTAAATTCGTAGAATTTATGATTCTTCTTTAATTTGAGGGGAAATTACTAAATTTTGTTTTGCTTGATTTGATCACTTGCAGACCTCAAGCTGTAATGGCGACTGGTCAGGTTCTGTTTCACCGCTTCTACTGCAAGAAGTCCTTTGCACGCTTCAATGTCAAGGTATTTGCTTTATCTGTGCATTCACTTTATAGATTTATTGCGATTACTCGAAGCACACGCCGCGAGTTAGAGGTTTTGCGGTGCTTATATCTTTGATTTGCTTGTATATTTGTATTGGCAGATGTTCTTTCAAAAACCCGTGTTCCAAACTTGAGAGCATTGAATTGTTCCTTGTAACTTTTTTCCTTGTAGTGTTTGTGCTGTGTTGTGGTGATGAAAATGTACCTTATATGATGGCGTACAGTGTTCTTCTTTTTGGTTTTTCGACAAGTAGTAGACATAGTTATTAGGAAAAAAGACGTCCCTGTGGCCGGAGTAGGTTAAATGGTCCAATCTCTTATTTCATAAGCGAAATATCAGCGCTCTTGCACTAATGGTTTTGTTTTCATGTGGCATGGTGTTTTGTTGTAGAAAGTTGCCGCTAGTTGTGTGTGGCTTGCATCGAAACTGGAGGAGTGCCCGAAGAAAGCCAGACAGGTGATCATTGTTTTCCACAGGATGGAATCTAGGAGGGAGAACTTACCCATTGAGCATTTGGACCCATTTTCAAAGGTTAGAGCTAATATGTGCTATATTTGTATAGAATTATAGATATCGTATTACAATCATTGTTTTTCATTATCATCCCTTAGAACCTAACGGATCAAATCTACTGTCTCCCTCTTTGGTGTGAGTAAGCGAATGGTTTCATTTCTTTTATTATCATCGCACTGATGGAGTTCGTAGTAAAGCGTATCAAAGTTTCCATGTTTTTGTCTTTTTGATTTTTCAGAAATATTCGGACTTGAAGATGGAGTTGAGTAGAACAGAAAGGCATATTTTGAAAGAGATGGGTTTCATCTGTCATGTTGAACATCCTCATAAGTTCATATCAAATTACCTTGCCACTTTGGAAACACCTCCGGAATTAACACAAGAAGCCTGGAATCTAGCAAATGACAGGTACTTATTTCAACATACGCCAATTACTTATTTACTTTCCTTGTACTTGGCTTTCCATTTGACTTCGAGACCTTCGAACTTTATATTGGTTTTTATGTATTTAAAATTCTCTGTTTACCTGGTATATGTGTGCATGTAATGTTGAAGATTTCAATGTGCTATATTGTTGGTTAAATTCTCACAAACTTTTTACTGCAGTTTGCGGACGACGTTGTGTGTTCGATTCAAGAGCGAGGTTGTTGCTTGTGGTGTGGTTTATGCTGCTGCTCGGAGATTTCAAGTACCACTTCCTGAAAATCCGCCATGGTGGAAGGCATTTGATGCTGAGAAATCAGGGGTTGACGAAGTTTGTAGGGTTCTGGCTCATTTGTACAGCCTTCCTAAAGCAAAGTACATACCGGTCTGTAAAGAGGGCGACTCTTTTACATTTTCCAACAAGTCATGGATTTCGTCTCAGCCAGTTACAAAGGTAATTCTGACTCCTTTTCTTTTCTTATAATTTTCCCCCTCTCCATTATGATTTATTTAGAGCCAGGGGATCTACGATATTCTCTCTCTTTTCTCAGCAGTTGCCATTTTTCAGCAGCTTATTGCATCTTGATATTTCAAGGGCTACTGTTTTTTCTCTAGGAAGGTTCATTGGATACGTACAATCACCTGCTTATCGGTGGTTTAACAGCAGGACCGCTGGCTGCAAAGTGCGAGCAAGAATAGCAACTGTAGGATATGAAGAGAATGGAAATTACGTACTTAATATGGATTTTTCTTTCTCAATGCTATTTTGTAGGAAGTTCCGAAGAATGCTCCCGAAGCTACTGACGATGCCTCTAATTCAAAGGATCCAACAGCAGTCAATCCTGAATCTGGTGGATCAAAGGGTGTCTTGGTCAAGCTATCCGTTGACAAGCTGAAGGACTCTAAAGAGAGTGGTGATGAATCCAAGAGCATGGCTGTTGAGGGAGAGGCAAGAGAAGATGTCAATACGAAATCCAAGTCTGAACGCCGCGTGGAATCAAGCAGTGATAAAAGCAAGGACAGAGAGAGGGACAGGGAGAGAGACAGGGACAGGGACAGAAAAAGGGTCCGGGATCGTGATAGGGGCAGGGATTCTGACCGGGAACGAGATCGAGAGGAGGCCGAGAGGGATAGAAACAGGGATCGAAGTCATCGTTCAAGGGATAGAGCGAAAGATTCAGGGGGGCATTCAGATAAATCAAGACATCACTCGTCACGAGATCGTGACTATCACAGTTCCTCGTATGCTTCCCGGGAGAAGGATCGTGATCGCCATAGACATCATTCGTATGCTTGAACTAATCGTCAGGACGCCTCTCCTTTTCCCTTAAACGCAACGGAACTCAATGTACTTCGACTGTATTTTGCCAATTTGGCAGATGTAAAAGTGTATTAGAATTGTTACCGTAAGAACTAGAATTATATTTTGTCACTCTCGGGCCTCGTTTGGTATACATGATTGGATTCAAACGTGTTTAAGACGTCAGGCATGCAGTACCTGAACTGATCGAACCGGCCTTCCTCGTCGCGGTTCAAAGCCGCCCATCTCTGAGTGCAACCCAACACGAACATTCGAGTCCAAGGAATATCGTGTTTGTACGAGGGACTAACGTACGGGGTCCAGCCCGTAACTTCATCTTCTTCAACGGAACGATTTCCTTAATGTCGATTCGATTCGTTTCGTGGCGTTCTGATTGCTATCTCGAGGGAAAGCAGAGACAGCAACACAGCCACCACCATAGTTGGTATAACAACTTGAAACCGTCTCTCTAATAAGAGTAAAGTCCACAATACGAGTAGATCTTACCTCTAACAAAGAGACGTTTAGATGTATTCTACAAAATGTGGTCGCCCTAGCATTTTCCGGTACGGAAATCATACCATTTTATCAAACAGAGTAAGCTACGCTAACTACATAAACTAAATTTACCAAGGCAATACCAGCACACTGTCTTCTATCAAAGACAACCACCTTTAACAGTACCATTTAACAGAAACAATTGAAAAGTTCAAGACTCCATACTTTCGATACGAAAGTTTAAATATTTGACACAAAGTTTTACTTTTCTAGGTTTTGTTGTTAACAAAAAAAATTGAAGAAAAGAAACGCCCTGCATAGACGGAGGGGATGCAAAAACTCCAGTTAGCGGTAGGTATATGACGGACCTGCAAAAGCATAACGAGATGAGACTGGTGCATGCACAGGATCCGGGTTGGTCGCCTGGTAGGTTTCTCTCTGGTTATAACCTAATGAAGCATCAGCAGCAGCAGCATCATGTCTCGAGTACAATGATAATCTCTCTACATGACGATCAGGTTCTCTCCTATACACAGGATCAGTCTCAATCAGGTACCTGTCTCTTGGTCCGTAGCTGGTTTCTCTCCTTTGCACGGGATCAGCCTCAATTAGGTAGTTCTCTCTCCTTCCACCAACGGAATAAGATCCTGACAGAACATCATCTCTCCTATAGGGTGCCAGGTATGGGTCCGACAATGAAGAACCATGATAGGAACGATAATATGGCTCCCTTGCATATGCATCGACAGCAGTAGCAGATGTTGCAGGTGGCAACTCATGTCTAGCACCAAGAGTAAGAGGATCATTCAAGTAGAGATGATCGGAATTAACATTCTCTCGATGTGCAGGAACAGGATCTCTGTAAATGAAGTTTGTCTGTCTTAGAAGATGCTCTCCTTCATAGTCCCTATGGCGAGATTCCACAGCTGAAGTAATTGGAAGAGAAGTCACATTTCTCCTGTCTCCCTGAAGACCATAAGCTCGATATTCCTTTTCAGTTGGGTACAAATCATGAGAAGTTTCCTCTCTCCTTGCAGGTACCACCTCTCGGTGTGCAACATGCTGGTCCCTTTCATGAGCTAACACCGGGTACCTCCTTGCATCAGCATGGGCATAAGGATCTCTAGTACGTGCATCCCTGTGTGAAAGCGGCCGTGATTCTCTCACCCCCTCATGAACTCCCCGATCCCGAGCTTTTGTTTCCAGCGGGGAACGGGGGGCTAGAACTGATGAATGCACTTGAGCTGGTCGGAAAAGTGCTGTGAGCCTTCTGACCTGAAATGAATATATTGGATACAACCCAGCAAAAAATGTAACGAAACGATGGCACTTCAGTCCAGGAAAGAAAAAAAAATAGCAATTAATAAGAGGAGAGCGGTTTATCTCACTTGTCGAACTGTAAGTTCAGTTTTGAACTTGTTTTTCCCATCATAGTTTTCCTTTATTGCCCTCTTGAAAACACTCTCAGGTAGGGGAAGACAATCTTTCTCCACATTGAACCGCACCTGAAATTTGCAAGTCATCAGCACATAAATCTGGTTAACTATAAAAAAGCAAACAAGGAGGTGGATCTAGGAGAATGTGACCTGAGCAGGGAAGGCCCCACCAAAAGCTTTTGGCTCAAGTTTTATGCCTCCACGAGAGGATGCTTTGTAAACCCCATATAAAAGCTTAAGATCGAAATCATAGAGAAAAAGCTTCAACCCAGGTTTGATACCTAAAACGACATCTTTTTTACCCAGTGTAACACCCATGATACGGTAATGGAAACAGTCTGGCTTTGTCTTTCCGCTGCACATGAAGATCAAACCACCAAGCTTTTCTCTCTTATAATCACGTTTTTCACTGTTTTTTTCACTCTTGACACTCTTGTCTGACTCACGTCGTTTTTTTGTACTCCGTTTTTGTTGGCTCTTTTCGGATTCGTCAAATTTTTCTGGATTCTTCTGAGCCTGATGGCTCTTCTCTGTAGCCTCTTCTTTCAAGATATTCTGTTGGTTCTGTTCACTTAAACTCAGCTTCTTGCCATCTTCTTCTCTTGTTTTGCTACTCTCGTTGTTACCCCTATTCCTTTTCCTTTTCCTCCCATTAACTTGTGAAGTACCTGTACCTTTGCTAGTTTTCAAACTGTTTTGAACAAGAGTTTTCTTCACAATTTTAGCTTTTCCCTTCAATGATCTTGGGATCCTCTTTCCAGAACTGGATGCTCCAGCAGAAGAGGCAGTTTTCTTTTCAGATAAATCAGGTTTCTTAGACACTTTCTCAGGAGAAGACATTTTCTTTTCAACAGACTCAGGTACACCGAACACTTCAGCAGAAGAAAAGATCTTTGGTTCAGATGAATATGGGGTGTTGGAGGTTTCTGCAGGTGAGGGGATTTGTTCTGATGGCTCTGGATTATCCAACACTTCAGGTAAACTGATCACTTGAGCAGAAGAGGGGATCTTCAGTTCAGATGACTCTGGTGTGTTGGATGTTTCCACAGGAGAGTGGATTTGTTCAGATGACTCTGGATTATTCAACGCTTCAGCAGGTCCACAAAACGCTTCAGCAGAAGAGGGGATCTTCAGTTCAGATGACTTCAGTGGGTTGGATGTTTCTGCAGGAGAGAGGATTTGATCACATGACTCTGGATTATTCAACGCTTCTGCAGGACTCTCTATTTCCTTCCTGTTATCTGTTTCCATATAGTTATCATCTAGTTCCATAGTATATACATATACTAAACAATCGGGTTTACAAAGCCAAATGAATCCTGCAAACAAATTGGTAATGAAGTGATTCTTTTGTTTTCTATTAAAAACAGAAGAACACAGGAATCACATATCCAGTCCAGAAGAGGAGTCAATCGAATATGAGAAAGAAAAGGAAAGAAAAACAGAGTGAAAAGGAAAGAAAATGAATGTAAAAGCAACAGAAACAAAAATTAATGGAATGAGTGCAAAAGCACCTTCCATGTTTCATCTTGTTTTGGCTATATGTAAAAACTTAAGCAGCATTGAATTTTTTTTTTTTTTTTTTGAAGGCAATAAAATAAATCCATTGGGACATTTTAGCTAAGTAGAACAGTATCATCGTCATTCCAAAAGAATCGTTCAAACTCAAAATCCTCTTTAATATTTCAGTGCATAACACAGAATAGGTTTCTAATGGCATGCCATTGTCTTATATCAATCAGTTTCAATACTGAAAAACCACCAACCCTAGAAGCACGGATCTTAGAAGGAGAAAAGACAGATGGTCCTTTATGTTTAAAGTATGACAGGTGGTCTGTGCACATAAGCTCTGCCTATAGAGATAAAAACCCTTCCTCTGTATACACAATGAATAAAACAAATCTAAAACAACATTGAAGTTATCAAACAAACAGATATACCTCTGTGTACACATGCGTGTGTACCCCTATATATGTACATAAATATACATTGCAGTGGCCATTTGGTATATGCATGCATGATCAGTATGTGTGCATGACGTTGTGCATATGGAAAGAACAATAACTTCCACACCTTTAGGAAGATGTCACATCCCCCATTTTATTCAACAAAGAGCATACCTCTAGTGTGAAAACTACAATGTTGTCGTAATTTCACTAGAAACATGAGAAACACAAATCTCTTTCTCCACGAAACCTTTCCAATCCACCAGTTTCTCTTCCCTCTGCTTCGCTAAGCCATCAAATTACAGTTGTACAGTTTTCTTTTCATTCCTCAAAAACTCAAACATTTGAAAATTATGAAGCTTGAGTACACCCCTAAAGACAAATAATTATACTTCTTTTTCAATATGTAGGTTTACTACCAGGTAACCATGAACAACACCACCATATCCTATGCAAGAGAAGCCCAATTACCCAAAGTGTCAAGAAATCTTAGTTGCACTAAGCACATGCCCATTTCAATTGAGATGTAAGCGCCATTAAAGTTTGTATCACTGCCACTGGACTATTCATATTTTCTAATTTACCTAAGCTCCACTATACCATATGTATTTGCAAACAAAATCACATTATATTCGATGGCACAGGAAGTGGGAATAGTCAGACTAACTCTAGAAGCCGCTCTGCTACAACTATATCAACGCCACTTAAACTAAATAGTGACAGATATAATAAAATAGAAGACACTAGACAAATAACGGTTGAAAATTTAGTAGGTTCACTACCTCAATCAAATGAAAATTCTTTGTCACAATTGATCACATAAATAAATTTCCAGTAAAAATCATGACAATGGCTTGACTATTAAGTTCGTGACCGTTTTACCATACTTATTGGCTGAACAGAAACACACTGCACGTGCAAATTTTGTACATGCAAATAATATCACAGTTCATTCTAAGGAATCTGCTCCGTTAGCTGATCTACTCAATTAAACGGAATTGAATGATTAATAAAAATCAAGACAACGGTTTGACTATTTAAGTTTTTCCGATACAGGAGGCTCAGCATTATCATGCAAATGCCACGCATGCACCTTTGGTACATCTGGTAGCATCAGGACCAATAAATTTCATTTGCACACTTTCTTTTCCTGTTTTTCTCCTAGTGCCGTTGTTACTGAGATTTATGCTATTTCCTTAAGGTGACGCAAAATAGCCGTTGAAAATCTGAGGGACTCGATAGTCTACTACTTTGGAAAAGGAATCCAAAACAAAAGTGAGCACGCGTTTGTTCGTTATTACCGGTAATAAAGTTACTCCCGCCATAACCACTCTAAGCACAAAATATAATCACATCTAAAGCCTTGGGTACCACAAAACCTCATGTTTCCATGGCAATGCCAAGACCTTCATTCGATCAAACCACAAGTGTGGTGATGATTCTGATGAATGAAGGATATGCCCCTAAAGAATGAAGCCCGGATGCATATTTTAACAACAACAACAACAAATAAAAGGAGAATCTTTACTATCCCCTCAAGCGAAACCAATCATTTGTTCAAAACCCAGTCTTGATCATGCAAGTATACAACAACAACAACAAAGCCTTTTCCCACTAAGTGGGGTCGGCTATCATGCAAGTATATTGCAAAAAAAAAATCCAACAACCAATTGAATTAAATTTAAAATCGACCCGACTCGTGCAAAATTGCAAGCAATCAAGCTTTACCTCTGAACAAACAATTTAACACCCCCATCTATCTATCTAATTGTCTGCCCAGAGAAGAAATAGAAGCATAAAATACAAAATCAAACTATTCTCTAAAACTCAGATCTCATACAATTTTAATTCAGCACAATTACAATACCAGTATCAAATTCCGCATATTTTTTCACAGTCCGAGCTTGCAAACACATGCATTCAAACTTAAATTCAAACAATGAAAATTCAATAGTTTTTCGTTTCCTTACCTTTCCCACCAACCAAACAGAAGCCAAGAGAACCTGAAACCCTAGAACCACAAGAAAATTTCTAATCAGCGAGAAACCGGTTCTGGTTTTAGAGACAGAGAGAGAGGTTTATATAGTTAGAGAGAGAGAGAGAAAGAGTGTGTGTGTGTGAGAGAGAGAGAGAGAGGAGAGAGAAGAGAGGATACCTTCAAGAGAAACCAGAGACTGAGGGAGAATCCGACGAACGTTGCACGGGAAGGAGAGAGTATCTGGAAAGAGAGAGAATTAAATAAAGGACGATTCGCTCTTTCTTTTTCCACCCTAAAATTTGCAATGACCAAACTGGCCTCCTTTTATAACTCTTTTATTTTTATTTTTTACTTTTGGTCTTCTTTTTTAAGGGCATCAAAAGTGAAATAAAAAATCAACCATAAATCCAACATTAAACAAAAATAAAATTAAGCTACATAAAGAGAAGAGAAAAAAAACATATATGGTTAGATGGTTATAGAAAATAATAATAATAATAATAATAATAATAATAATAATAATAATGTGGTATGAATGTTTTAAGTCGTTAAAAACGCTTTTAGATAATTAAAATATCTTTGAAATATTTAATTATAGTTCATTCGCCTGTTGAAACAAAGTCGTGTTATGCGCATAATGATCAAATGTTGCTTAAGATGGCATGCACGAGGCGCTTTAGTAATGTAGTTTTTTGTACACGTATCGATCCTTACTTATTTGCGTAACGATAACACAAGTGACACGTCGAGATAGTGATACAAACTACAAAGTACGTGTATAGTTATTGATGTTAATATATTGTCTTAGGGTTATACACATGTTATAACTTAAATAAATATTTAAAATTACATCGGAGTGACACTGAAAATTAAAAATTTAGTTAATTCCCATTGGAGTTCACTATGGAAATTTGAATTTTGTGTGTGTTATTTGCAAAATATAAGAAAGGCACATTGCATTCTATATAGGTACCTTAAAATTTATCGGCATTTCCTTTGATGATTTCTTTCCTAATTTTTGGATATTATCCTAACCAACTCATATCCTGTTGTTTTTGTTTTCCAATCCACGTGGCAGACATTCAACATGGCTGTTAATATACTATCTGTTTTTTTCCAGCCTACGTGGCAGACATTCAGTGGGTTGTTGTAATGACATTAAGTTGGCAATTGACTTTGCTTAACCCTGTTTTTTCCCTAAGGATATATTTTTTTTTGTCAAAATTTTCCCCAAGTTTCATTTATAAAAAATGTTAGCATCATGTACGCATAAAAAATTTATTTTGGCCATTCTTATTTTATCGAGACTGGCCAAGATCAATCTAGGCTCCTAGTGACTTTGCTGATATGGCCTAAAGCCATTGCTGATCAATGTGCTTAAGACCATATCTAAAAAAGATGCCACCTGCTTGGTTGGGATGCCAACTAATCGCTTTTAACAGTAAATATTGCTCCAACCGAACGATCTTTTAGCTGACCTAGAATGGCAGTAAGATCTCTAGTGTCAACTTTGATGCTGCCTTCATTTCTATTTTATTTATTTTTTTAATTGGCCCATAATTCACTACAAGATTAAGCTTTAAAAATTATTTTATTGTTTCTTTTATTTTAAAGTGGGCCCTATATGTTAGTAAAATAATAACTAATATACTGTTTGGAATATAAATAAATTTGACATCATACTTCAAAATGCCACATAAGCCATCAATTAAGAATTTGACAGAAAAAACTGACGTACACATTGGAGATGCTTTAAAAGACATAGAACGGGCAACACCACATGAACCATAATGCCAGTGTAGTGGTGACCTCATTCGACATAAGTTGCTCTCCTATAGAAGGTGAGGTGTTGTTTCAGACTTATCACACTTTCCACATGTTCTTAACTTCTCCATATAACGTCATATAATTAGTTGAGACTCCGCAATCTTGCCGGCCCAAGTTCATGCAAGTCATTCTCCTAAAGGAGGGTAGTTCTTGAAGAAACAACTGCCAATTCATCATATATTTGGAGAGCACAAAAAAGCTAATTTGCAGTAATTGGCAAAGATGCTTTATAGTCACAAATAAGAGTTTACATACAAACCTCCCAAATTCTCCGAAGAAAATAAAACCTAATTCAGTCAAGATAAACTTTAACATCAATCCCATTATCAATGAGGGATTGAACAACTGCTCTAATCTTCCCTTCAAACTTGTCCCTGTCCCGGGGAGTATAAGCAGCGGTATAGACATCGGCTTCTCTTGCCCTATCGGCTAAAATTTGGCCGACGGCCAAACAGGCAGGTATGTCACAACGTGACTTGAGTACAGCTTTAATGTCTTTGGAGTTGGTACCGGCAGTTGCAACCTGCTTGGTTGTGACCCTGTGGGTGATTGAGGCTGACACAAACCGCTTTGAGATGAACACATCGAGTGTAAATGGTTCAATGTAGGCTATGGTGCGCTGTTTAAATGATATATGCTTTGTTGGATTTTTGGACTTCTTCTCCTTCTGGTAAGTATATGGCCGGCTATTGTCATCATCGAGGAAATCCTCTACCCCGAAAAAACTTCTCGGTGCACAATGAACCTGTAAATTGCACAATCATATGGCAGTTGATATCACCAGAAAAATTCTACCGGAAAGAAATTAGATGGCTAGCAGATCTTCATGGCATCATCCAAGCACAAAAAAAAGTTCAAACCTTGTTCAAGCATAGATCTTTATTAACTTTCTTAGGTCTTTCTCAGAGAAAATCATTGGTTTGAAACTAACACAAGGCTTTGTGACGACAAATTCAAGAATATGAGGCTAATGGGTGCTCGGAAATTAGGATTTCGAATGTACCTGTCCATTGTGAACATCACTCGTGGGCACATACAAGCAAGGCATGGCTCTGTTTCCTCCGTACACAAAAACACCCTTATTCCACACCTTCCCAAAGACTTGCTTCAACATTTTCCCTTTCCACTCACACACAAGACACCTTGATGTAGAGTGATCCTACTTACGTCTAATCAGCTGAAAACAAAAAACACACAACAGTAAAGAAGGACACTTTGAACAGCTCTGAGAAATAGAGTCACTTCTCTGAAGCATTTCATCGAACAGGTGAGGGGCAAAACAAAAAAGAAAGAGAAACGGAAGAGATTCTGCTTCCAAATTTGTTCCCTTTTGTGTGAAGCTAATGGATCCCTAGAAACTGAGGTCTTTAGGTTCAAAGAAAAATGTAGCCAAATTACGATTCTACCCAATCACAGAGACAGAGACACAGCTGAAAGAGAACTAGAAACAAAACCCATCACTGGAAATTGTGAAAAAATTGATACAAGTATTATTGTTCATCAGAATCTTCAAGTTTTCAGAGACCCCATTTCACATGAGCATTTCATCGAACATGTAAGGTGCACTGTGCGAAATACCCAATTTTTAACAAAAATATGAGTGTGTGTGAGAGAGAGAGAGAGAGAGAGAGAGACCTGGAGATGGGAGAGAGGAGCCCCCTTCGGCGTGTGGAAAGGAACGGCGTCGTACCGGGAGAATAATAATCGTACAAACTATGTCGCCGGCGGCGGAAAGACTCGAAGAAACGGAAGAAAAGAGGGCAGCGGCACTCGAGGGCTTAGAAAGCTCAGAAACTGGCGCGGCACACTTCTGGTTTCGTGCTTTTTGTTGGGGGACTTTAAACCTGATTTGTGCTGATAATTACCTTTAAGTAGATCACAATCGGCAAGGCGGGCATTTGGTCTAGTGGTATGATTCTCGCTTTGGGTGCGAGAGGTCCCGAGTTCGATTCTCGGAATGCCCCTCTACTTACCACTAATTTTTGTTTTTCTATTTTTTTAACAGTTTTTGGGACTGTTTTGCCCTTTGTTTGAAACAATCCCACCTTCACTGGTAAATTACTTGGCCATATGAACCTTGGTAATTTAACCTAATCTCACAATCACGACAGGTTTACTTGCTTGAAGTGAAAAAAAGTCATAAATCGGGAAAGGATAGAGAGAAATCGAGAGTCAATTTGTAATTTGAAAAAATATTTTCATTTTTGTTTTATTTCGTATGTTTTTGTAAACGCATACGCGTGTTTTAGCAAGTCAGAGTCTTCGAGTAATTCCAATACTCATTCTGTGTAAGTAAGCATGCCATTGGTTTAGACCTTCCTTGCACCCGAGACTAAACTAATCGCGGCAGAATGATACCGCCACAATGACGTCCCAATGCAAGAAAAGCAAAGAGAGAATAACTTTGAAGTTCATTCCATTCTTCACATGCAGCATCGCCGAAAGAGTTATCGATACATCGATAGCATAGAAAGGATGCCACAATTTACCACATTGCTAAATTCAACTCAAAACGATCGTAATAGTACCAGGAATTGATACCTGATCAACCTCCCAGCAGCTTGCAAGCTGGATGTCAATCTCCCCGGTATGAAGAAAAGCCGGAGCTTGGTGAGAGAATCTACCTAACTCAGCCCTTGGTATGTCGATGATGCCATTCTTCGATCTGTGGATTCTTGGGGCCCTAAACAACGACTTGGATCCGTTAACGTGCGGCAGAACCGCAACCTTTGTGCTTTCGTCGTTATCTTCCAGGACTTGTACCATTTCGCATTCACCCTTCCCTGAGTTCTTGTATAATGCCCAAACTTCACCTTTCCTGGGGTATATTTCAAACATCATCTTCCCAATAGGTTTGGCTTTCACACAATGAGAGAACGACGAGCGGGAGATGACCTTGGTTTGACCACTCTTCACTTTAAATGTCCCACAACAAACCGGTTCACTCGCATCTTCTGGTAAGCAAGGTTCGAGCAACGCTACATGGAGTTGAAAATTTGGCTTCAACACAATCCTCTTAACTTGTGCGTAAGTCCTAGGCATCCCGTTCTTATCACTATACAGCGCCCAGATTTGATCAAGCCGAAATTTGTCCTCGGACCTTTGCCCATCAAAGTCATAGAACTGAGATCGGGATAAAATATGGAGAGGAGATGAAGATGAAGGGGCGACGGGGATTTTCATGGAATTGACAGAAGGATGATCCTTCACACTTGAATGTGCCTGACTAGAAGTAGAGTTGACTTTAGTCGGAGTGAAGCTGGCATGGCTTGTATCGTTGGCGGAATCTGGGCACTTCACATATACATTTGGTCTCGGAATGTTCTTGCTTACATCCCTTGGTGATCTTCTAAGGCTGAAAGACTTACCATCGGAATCATTTTTCTGATGCTTCTTTGGTGTGTTGATACTCTCATCAGCCTTCCGCGGAGTAGAACTTACCCTGGGTTGAGTTTGGTTACCCTGGTTTGTGCCATTGTCTTCAGTAATACCTTGAGTTGCTTCTAGCTTAACAGAATTCGCAAACTCGCCATTCGACATTCGTGGAGATCTACGTGTTGAAGTCTCTCTTTCTGAATAGTTCTTCTCCTGTTTTTCAGCGGCGCACACTTTCCCAGAACTCATTACAGGTTTGGTTTTGCTTTTGCTTATGTCACATGACGAACCATTAGCTTCAGTATTCATGGTTCTGTTGTCCGTCTTCGAAGCAATGAGGTCATCAAAATTGGTGGGCAAAGCAGCAGGATCAAACTCAAAGGATCCTTCTGGAACACCCTCTCTCTCAGTACCTGTCATCTTGAAAGAGGGAATTCGATGAGAAAATCTATACAGCTCATTCGGTGGTACTTGAAACATGACAACCCCATGCTGCTCCCTTCGCTGAAATAGACTGACAAAACCTTTTACTTTGCCGAGATAAGCAACTCCAACGCCATAATTTTCGACAAAATCCGACAATACTTCCACAAAATCAAACTTGTACGGTACATGTTTTTCAGGCTCCGAACTCCACCCAATATCCCCAATTCTGGTAGATGGCCCAGGTTTCTCCCTTCTTAGGATATACGAAAAAAGAGCTTCTGCCACTGCCTTTTATGCAGTGCATCTGATGAGAAAACATAAGATGATCTGTAACTTCTTCAGTGGCACCAAGCGTGTACTTGCCACAAGCAACAGGCAACTCCTTGTTACACCAAGCAACCTCACGTTGGTCATCTGGACTGGGCTCCAACCAGGTGAATCTCAGCTTAAATCTGGGGGAGAATACTTTCTTGATACGAGCATAGAATCTGGGCAGTCCATCTAGTGGATCGTAAAGAGCCCACGTTTGATTAGCACTAAACACATTCTCTAACGTATCCACATCAAGCATGAACTTATTGAATTCAGGATCAGGAACCAGAACGCCTGCTGGTATGGATGTGACATTTGAATTTGGTCCAGAACCATTACCAGCTTTGGACTTATCGTCATTTTTATCTGGCATAGCTGCTTCCTCCACCTTTTGCTCGAATTCAGCAGTTTTGCTTCTTTTGCTGGGCAAACATTCTTCTAGAGGGTGAGTCACCTTTTGTTTTGCCTCTTTCTTATGTCCACCCACTGCAGCAGTAGTAGCACAACCTGGTTGACTATTATTTTTAGATACCCCACCATCCGCAGCTGCATTCTTCCTCTCCATTTCAGTATCACTGGAAAATTGACTATCCGTCGACCTTTTGGGCGGACTCACAAAATCATCATCATCATTTAGATTTTCATTGTAAGAAAGATTCTGTTTGATCCTCGATGATCTCCTATGGTGATGGACTTCATTGAGTTCAGAAGGTTTACAACTTTCACTGGATTCCCTTCCTCTTTTTTTGTTCATATTTCCTGAAGTTTTTGAATCCTTGGATTTCACAGGAGACTTCACAGGACCAGACTGGGATATTTTAACATCAGTGGCAATTCCCGCCTTTGATGGCGGATTTGAGGTTGCCTTTCCATAATGAAATTGTGTGGAGGATGGCTTTCCAGTACCACCATTACTTTGTGGGGCTGCATTTGAAGTACCCTGATTTGGAGGTTCTTTTCGATTTGGAAATTGATTCCCAACAGATTCTGGATGAGCATCCTGAGATTGAATACCCAAATCTTGAGCAACAAAGGCTCTTCTGCATTTTTGACAGCGCAGCAATCGATTTGCAAAATCTTTGAAGTATTGGTATTTTATCTTACAAAAAGGACAACATGTCCAGAATGTGTCCGGTGGGAACTGTGACTGAGGAGTATCATTTTGTTTCCTGACAAATAAGTTTCCATTTGACGGGTGAGCTGATGGTATTGAAGAACCAGTTTTCACTTGAGCTCTACACTTCATGTCATACGTAGAGCGCTTTGCTTGGTCTGTTAGCACCCTGTTGGCTTCCCCAATCAACTTAAAAGCAGCCTCTGCACCAGCAAACTTATTCTTATCAGGATGAAGTAACAACGCCAGCTTCCTGTACTGTTTCTTGATGGTTACATCATCATCAGATTTCTGAATCTGAAGAATTCCATACCAGTCCATTTCAAATCCTATTTTGTTCTCCGATGAACAGTGAACTTCACAGACTGTAAGTAATTTCTCAATGTTCTCAATTCCCGGAAAGAGTTTTTGTGCCTTTTGTGCCATCTTCCTTGCTCCTGTAAAATCACTGTTTCGCATCTTTACTTCTGATAGTTGCATTGCTTTGAACGCCTCCTCTTTGTTGCACTCCATGGCTGATTTAGAATTAAAATCCACTTAAGTTCTTTCACATACAGGATATACACCAAGACAAAGCAAATGAAATCCACCCCTGCCTGCCCACTCTCTAGTCATCCAAATCTTCACCCTGTACACAATCGAAGCAACTTAAGTCAAGCATGCCCCCCAACTACATATTTATCTAACTAACATTAAACAACAAGTTCACTTACCATTCAGTAAGTATTATCAAGATGATCAGGAGAAAATAGATCCTGTAAAGAATGAGAAACAACAATCTGGATTATCCTGAACAAAAGGTTCGGGAAAGTCCCATTCACATAAAACTACCAGCCAAACTGCGGAAGCCCAAGACGGAGATCTCAAACCTGCTGACCAAAATCCATTTTAAAGAATCAGAAACAATTAATACGTCAATCCATATTTATAGGGTCTTACTATATATAATGAACAAAGTTTTATTAAAAAAAAAAGAAACAATTACAATCTTTGAGGACAAGGTATCAACTAAATACAAGAGAGCAAACATGATAAAGCTCTTGCATACGCATACAAAAAAATCATCCGAGATTAGTTGTAAAAACAACAAATACAGGATCAAGAAAAATGGAATTTCCCCACAATTTCAAAGTAGCAAAAACCTAAAATGAAGCCCAAAAGCTTACTTTTGTCCCATAAAACATCGACCCCTCCCTAGTAAAATCTTCAAACCTCTTCTTATTCCTTTACCACCACACTACCCATAATACAGAAAACACCCCGCAACTCTATACTACCTTTTCCTTCTTCCCATCGCCTTTCACAAAAGAGATCCAAGAAAACCAACAGAATTAACGCTGAGCATAACGGAAGACAAACAATGAAGAAACAGCTAGTCTACAATCCCAACACGTGAAACACCATTTGGGAGAAAGACAAACATTAGGACAAAAATTAAGTCCTCTCGTCAAGTTATAAGTGCTTAGCCTTTTCAAATCACATTCCTGCTATCCCTTTCAAAAGTATCTGCATCTGATGCATCCAATTAGTCCTTCAAATCACACCCTAAAACTCAAAAGTAAAACTGGAAAAAAAAAATACCCAACCACATTCCCCAAAAGACCACAGTAATTCAAAACTCACAGAAATTTCAGCTTACCTTTAAGAAGTAAAAACAAAAGGACATGAGCGCTTAACTTTTTCACTCTTTCCATTAATTTTCTCAGCTACCAAACACTCGTATTTCCACAATGCACAATAAAATCAACCAAAGTCCAAACATATTAGCATACACAAATTACAAAAAACCAAAAATGATATTTGCAAACCAACCAAAAAGTACAAATCAAAGTAAATGCATGATCGGAGATCCAGAGCTGGAGAACCAAACAGCCAAAATTAAGCTCAGCAAATAAGCATTCCAACAGAGCAAGGAGCTAGAGTAAAATTACCCAGGATCGGATGGCTAAATTGTAATTATGCAGAATTTCAAAAACCCTAGAAATCTCGCTGACCAGAATTAGCTCAGTGAGAGAGAGAGAGAGAGAGAGAGAGAGAGAGAGCTTACTGGTGATCGTAGATTGCTAGGGTTTCCGCTTCTAGAGAGAGAGAGAGCGGGAAGCGAAACTGAGCGAAATAGTTGGAGGCAGAGCGGAGAGAGAGAGGGTGTGGTGGCGAGATGGGGGAGAGGAGTCTCTGAGTTTCGTGTGAAATTCCAATTTCGGGTTTATTTATCCTGAAATATTTTGTGCGCGGGCCGCTAAAACCAAAGGCTGTTGATCGGGGGTTTTTTGGGAAATTCACTCTACTCCGCGTCAAAACCATCAATGACATTGGCTTCCATATTTAAATTTGAAATTTTCAGGAAATGTCTAGAGACTGTGGGCTTTGGGGGGGGGTCTTGATCTCCAATAAGAACCGTTAGATTGGATGACTTTGCAGGGTTAGGGTTTTTAAGCGTTGACTAGCATTGGGATTATCCCGTTTTCTGGTTAGACCGGTGTGGTGTTAGCCAAAGACGTTCAATGTACTAGAGATATTTTCTTAAAAAACTACAGAGTTGTTGAGAGGTTTGAAATTATCGATTTAATACAAGAGATTTATGTAGCGGATAGACATAATTTTAAAATTTAAACTTATTCAATGGTGATGAATATGGTATGAGCAAAAATACACTCTTTAATGAATGACTTTGAAGTTATCAATAATCTCATTTCTAATTAAATTGTGCGGTGTTAGCCAAAGACGTTCAATGTGTCAGAGTTATTTTCTTGAAATTTTGAAAAGTTGTCGAGAGTTCTGACATTATCGATTTAATAAATGACTTTGAAATTATCGATGTTCAATGCGTCTGAGATATTTTCTTGAACAACTAAAAGCTATTGAAAATCCTTAAATTATTGATTTAATGAATAATTTTTTTATTATTATTACAAGTAATACTCTACACTAATCTACACATGTCCCAATGTGTTAAAAACGAAGGCCCTGAACATAAGAATCGAACAATTTACCATTTGCATAGGTTATCTTTAAATAATGGTTAAGTAATAAACAGTTGCGAACATATAATTTGTACAGTAAAAGTACGTTAATGGCAAGTGGATGGACAGGGTGATGGGCATGGAGGAAGGACATACTTTTTGAATTATAATTGCATCCACCCATGGTGCACCTCTTTAGCACCTACTTGTAATCAAGGTATAAAATATCGATGATATCGAAAATATCGGTAGTTCAAAAACACGGAAATTTCGATGGAAATATAGGGATATTATCGATATCGATAAAAATTGAATAAAAACCACGGAAATTGTAAGAAAAACTCAGAAATTTTTATTGAAACTTTACAGGATGTTTATTTAGTTAATTATCTATTAGTTTATCACAAAAAATTGGAAGGAAATGCATTGCATGATAGATATAACTAATTTAAGTTGATTATATAGCGAGCTGGCAAACATTGTGAGTGTAGAAAATATGTAGTAATTAATGAAAGAAGTTTAAACACACCATAATCATTTATATATAATGAATTAGTACATATTTTACACTTTATACATTGCATGGTAAGATACATGAGTGACTTAGCAAGGTCTAAAATATCGATGATATCGGAAATATCGGTAGTCCAAAAAAATATCGGTAGTCCAAAAACACGGAAGTTTCAATGGAAATATCGGGATATTATGGATATTTTAGACCGTGCTTGTAATTGACAAATATTTACCATACAATTATCATAATTAGAACTATTTGTTTTCTTGGTCATCATTTATATACCATTTTATAAAAATAAAAATAAACAATTAAATTGAAGATTAATATAGTCATCCATCTAAAAAGAACAAATAGACGATTTATTATGAGAATGTTAATAATTACCAAAACTATTGATTTCTTCTATATATGTATAAATATATGAATAATTAAATGCCCTCCAATTTAAGAGATCTTTTCCTAAGATAATCTTTGCATGATTTTTTATATGAGAATGAACCATATATAGTAGCATATATGGGCACATACAAAGTGTGTGAGAAAATTTTTATTTTTGTTTTTGAAATAGAAGGAGAGAGGAAAAGATCTTTTGTTTTGGTTGTGTGAAATTACATTTCTGCCTCATATTTCTTATTCATGTTTTGTTTTAATTAGAGAGTTAAACTGGTAATTTCATAGGATTTTGGTTGACAATGAGTGTTTTATTAATTAGTAGAGATTATGAAAGTTGTACTGTTAAGTGAGTATTATCCATATTATAAAGGTTCGAGAGTAGAAATTAGAGTAAAATGGTCCCTCAACTTTAACCTAATTGGAATAATAGTCATTCAACAAAAAGTCCATGACTATTAGCCCCTTAACTTATAAAAACGTGCAATTATATTCATTTTCATCAACTCTGTTATAACTTCTATCAAAATGAGTCACGTGCCGCAGTGCTTTTCGTCAATTTTGTTATAACTTCCATCAAAATGAGTCATGTGCCTTGCACATGAGACTGAATCAAGGAGAAAATATGGAAAATCAAATGTGAAAAGTTGTAGCTATGGTTACTCAATTTTAATCCAATTGGAGAAATGATCCATTAACTTTAACCCAATTGAAAAAATGGTCCCTTCTTTAACCCAGTTGTAGCAACGGTCCTTCAAACATGACTCATTTTGATGGAATTCTAACGGAGTTGACAAAAATGACCATAGCTACACGATTTGATGAGTTAAGGGACCAATGATCATGGATTTTTAGTTAAGGGATTATTGCTCCAATCCGGTTAAAGTTGAGTGACCATCGCTACAATTTTATCTAGAATTAAAAAGTGAATATTATCCATATTATAGTGGTAGTCAGTAATAAATGAAATGTCTTAGATTCGATTCTGCCAAAAAACGTCAACCAAATTGTTACGGCACCTCAGTTGCCCCTTACATTGCACACCTCCTTGTTTGGAGTGATTTTCAAAATAGACTACGAGGTTTCAATTTTCTCCTATTGGCACCTAAGATTTTGAAATTGTATCAATGCACGCCTTTTGTCCAATGAATTATTTATGACCTAAGGTAAGTACAAAAGGTTTCGAAATTCATGTTCACCAGAATCACAAGACACTCCATATGTGAAACTGAAAATTTTATTGGTACAACACGGTAAGTTAATAGCTGCAACAACAATAACAAAACCGTATCTCACTATGTGGAGTCGGTTGTATGAATCCTGAAATGCCATTGTGTTCGGTTTTGTGCTAAATCTTCCCGTTAACCACAACTGGAAAAGCACAGGATTGGCCTTAACGGGAGATTTGAGACACATTCCTCATGCATTTCTTGCCAACACATCCCTGATCAGTTGCTTTGGTGCTGCATTAGTGAACAACGAAAGGAAAGGAACATGATAAGATAACGGTTGAAAAGGCGGTTAATATGCAGAAAGATTTTACAGAGAAACTTGCAATTGTTAAGTCTTTCGTGTTGAACTTACCAGGTGAACCAGAAAACTTTTCAACCTGTACAAATGCTTGATTGAGGAACATTTCCGTCCCGGAAACAACGGCTGCTCCAGACTCTTGTGCTTCTTGTAAGAGTCTTGTCCATTTAGGTGTATGAATGGCATCAAACACCAAAGAATAGTTCTTCAAAGCGTTCTGTCAAAAGAAAGAGCAAAGATAATAGAAAGAAATATGTCACTACTCAGTTGCAACGCGAAGGTTCAAGAAAACATAATCTTTGTATCGAATTGATCACTGTATGTGTAGTGCGGACAAACCTTGGATAAGGGTGTTTGATCAATTCTCGGCTTCATTCCAACCGGTGTGGTGTTTGCAAGAACCATTCCCTCCTCTGGATGGAAATTTTCCAATTCAGCAAGAGTGATAGCTTCTCCTCCAACTTTGTTTGCAAGTGCCTTGGCTTTGTCTAGCAGTTGGAAGAAGAAAAAACTATGAATTCTCGAAGAAATAGGACCCTCAATTCAAGCTGACAAGGCAGTTGCCACTTCAAATTACATGGAAAAAAGAGAGGGAGAACGGATTTAAATAACGCAATAGTTCCTCTCCATTTATCAAATCAATGTTTACGGTCTATTTCATCAAAGAGTAAGGTAGTTTTTCTGTTTTCGCATGCTTTTCTTCTCTTAGTTAACCTTACAATGTGTTATGAAATTCATTATCTTTTCCTTTCCCAGCATTTTAAGCTTGTATTTAGTAAAGGATTAAGACCGAAAAACTTGGCGGTCGGAGTAAAAGGACATGACCGAAGATTCTCACCATATGTGCGATTGGCAACTACCACTCTTGCTCCTTTCTGTTTTCCACCATATGCAAGTGCCTTTCCAGCACCACCAGCTCCAATGACGACAAATAGTTTACCAGCTAATGGGGAGCCGGATCCATTACTTGAACCGTTTAATGCTGCGCAGAAAATAATAGCGGTTTGTTATTCACCCTATCAAGACAGCTCGATCCATGAACTTATTTTGTAACAGTTCTTCCATGAATATTGAATAGCTTGTGAAATGCAAAGAAACCTTGAAGTCCTTCCTCAATGGCTGCAATTGCTCCTAGATAGTCCATGTTGTAGCCTTTTAATTTGCCATCAGCCGGGTTCCTGATCATGCAACTAATAGCTCCTATTTCCTGTAAAAAACAGCTAGAAGAAGGCTCAACGATCTTTTCCAGAGAAATTTAATGCCAAAATATTGACACTGTCGGGATGGGATGCTATGACAATATGCACGAAAGAAATAATGTACCTTGGCATTTGGATCGATTTCATCACAGCATTTAATCCCAGCGTCGTCGTGAGGAATTGTGTAACTGCGTTTCATATATATGAAAGGCACTCCCTTTTTCGAAATAACTCACTAGGGAATTCCTAGGTGAACTTACTAAGAAAAAGTAGAAGCTATGCTGAAGTTTCTGAGATCAGAAGTTACCTGTATCCAACAAAGTCGGGGGAGTTATAGGTGTCAATAAAATTCGCAACGTTATCAACCAACAAAGGCAAATAAATTCCATTGAAATTGATAGATCTGAATGCTGCATTGTAAAGATGAGGGATTTTGCTGTGACCGATAGGATTTCCGATCACACCATGTACTTTGGTATCGGCCCCTATAAGTCTGAAGTTGTATAAGTCCAGTAGATCTCTTACGGTGGGCTGGCCAGGGGCCGATACTACTCCCGCCTCTATTGTACCAAAAGTGAGGAATGCACCATATTTTGCACTAAGTACGCGTGAGATCAAACCCTTCTCGCCCATAACCAGCCCTATCATTGGGACCTACAGTTTGAGTTGACATGTCATTTACGCGCTGCAGAAGATGTCGGATAGTGAGATGACTCAAAATCAGATCAACGGGTTTGAGTCACTTACTTGAGAATGCGCTAATACTTGAAATACACGTGCAGAGTCGGTGATGTCTAAGCCAGTAGTCGCGATCTTCACTATGTCAGCTCCGGTAGCTTGTATCCTTGCAACAAGATCACCAATTTCCTCGGCAGATGGAGTTTTCTCATAGTTGTGTGAAGAAACAATGATTTTGACCTTTTCTGGCTTCCTCCCTTGAATGGAATTGTAGAACTCGTCGGCTACCTTCAAAAGAGAAAACCTCGAAAGGCTTAGTGACTAGATTAGCAGTTGCCAACTTAGGTTCTGATGGACTCATAGCAGTTGCATACATCCATGCCGTGGACAGTATGACCGAAAGAAGATAAAAACTTTCAACTGTGACTATTCAAAGATGCATGAGATTCGTACCTTAAGTTCGACGTCAATAAAGTCCGCTCCCAAATCCATGGCTACACGCAGTGCATCTTGTCGCTGCTTGTCGTCACCCTTGTATTGACCGCCTTCCCATGCTGGCCTATAAGGTAAATGAAGCATAAGAAATACTGCTAGACTGCACTTAACAGAGACACTACCACGCCGAAATGAATTCAACAGAATACGCAAAACATATATGCAGCAGCAAGGCCAGTTTGAACATGAAGCAACTAAAAGAACATACACAAAGCAATCAAACTACCCGTATCCTTCAGTCTAACCCGATTACTCAGCATCCAAAAACTCGGAACTTTAGACTCGGCAGACATTATTCAATCCAACGCTCTTAAATTCTTAAACTCCGGAACTGTGACTAGTATATACTGTGAATAGATTGCATTAAACTAAGTGATATATCAATCGGTTCAACGATTACCTGTAAGTGACAAGGGTAGGCAAAGGACTTTGTTTGATCAATACACTGAGGTCTTGTCTTGGACTGAAGTTCTTCAAAAAATCAACCCGAAGTTCAACGAGGTCAGCGCCAACTTCCTTTGCCTTCCCCATTTGGACCAGCATCTGATCAACTGAATCCGCCACTACCGGCGCACATATCAGTGTGGAATTTCTTCGAGTTCCATCCATGATATGAAGATCCGAAGCTGCCAACTGAAAGTTCACCAAATGAAACAAACATGCAAAAAGTGTACAGGTTATAAAATTCGCAACATGAACCTACCAAACTACACCTGATTTTCACACATAGGGAGCAGAAAGGAATCGACTTTTTTCGTTAGCAATGGAGGCAAATGAAAACCCATAAAAACCAAAAAGCCCAAAATTTCTGGGTCGTTTTTATTTTCCCTCCATTTTCTCAGCAACCAAACAAAAGGGTCTGACTATTTACCAGTTCGGCACTCAGAGAACCAAGACTCAAACAAGTAGCATTCAAATCCAAAATTTGCTATAGCAAATCCTCACTGCCCTCTTAACAACAGAACAGAACAGAACAGAACAGAGAGAGAGAGAGAGAGAGAGAGAGAATTTGGGTGCAGAAAGAACAAGTTAGATTACCGGGAGGGTGCTGCGAGTCATTTCCCTTCAATTGCGTAAGGTTTGGAACTTCAAAGGTGGCCAGCAATGCCAGCAAAATCACCTCCTATTGGTCTACAAAGAGAGAGAGAGAGAGAGAGAGAGAGAGAGGAGAAAACAGAGTAGAGAGAGAAAATTTGGGTGCGAAAGAACAAGTTGGATTACAGAGAGGGTGCCGAGAGTCATTATTGTCCTTCAATTACGTATGGTTTTGAAACTTCAAGGGTGGCGGCAACCAATGCCAGCAAAACCAACTCCTATTTGTCTAGAGAGAGAGAGAGAGAGAGAGAGAGAGGTTGGTGGATGTGGTTGGTGGAATATATAGAGACAGGACAGAAGAAGCCGTAACCTTCTTCCCTTCATCTCTGATTTTTTTTCCGATCCTGCAAAAGGAAAGGGTAAAAAAAAAAAAAACAATAAAACAAAAAGGATTTTCAGTCAGTAAATCGTAGTAAATATATCTGCCATTAGCTTTTGCATTTTTTATTTTGTACGGATGATTTTTTTTACCGAAACTAACTAACTTTTGAAATTTTGGAATCGGTTACTTCATCGGCAGAGGAGCAGAGCAGCAGGCGCGGAAGCAGCTGGTAGATGAAGCAGTTGAAATTATCATATTGCCCTTCCTATTGGCCCACTTGGGAACGAACCAATTTGGATTACAACTCTGACCGTAAAATCAATATAATTCGAACCGTTTTGTAGGGGAGTGATATCCACACATCCTTTTTTATTTCTCTTATATATTTTTTGTTTTTGGCTATCGGATTTGATGAATTGAAGAAAATCAACGGACATAAATTAATAAAGAGTGTAAGAAGTAAAAAAGGGTACGTGGATAACACAGCCCTCTTTTTATTATGTTCAAAGATTATTTTTGAAAAATTTTCTTTGATTTGAAAATTGATTAGTCACTCATGTGAATCGACAAGAGAATCAACCAAAAAGATATTGGAAAGTATGAAAGGGGAGTTAATTTCCCATTTGCCCCAACTACCTAGTGTTTTGTCTTTTTCCCCCATTGCAATTGGCAAGTCCTGCCGTATATAATCAAGGTTTGGTGTGTCCCTTTCGAGGGTTTTTTTTTATTTTTTTTATTTTTCATATTTGTACTTTTTGAAGGTGGAAACTTTTTTCTGGTGACGTAATAGAGAGATTGGTTACTTCACCACCAACTAAAGAATATTCACAACTTTAAGCTAGAATGATTTAGGTGTGACACTTAATTGTCAATTGACACCAGTATGATTTATTTTAGAATTTATAGATTTCGCACATTCGACGACTGCTGGCAGGTAAACTCGAACTTCCATAAGGTGACACATAGAACGAAATTGTGAATTGAGGCAACCACCACAAGGTCTATTTTGTACAGACGTTTTATGTAATTTTATTTTGTTTATTTACTAATGGTTTACATGTGATCAGATGAGAGTCCATGCTTTTCATTCGATGGAGAAAATTTTCAGTGTGTCTTGAACACGAGATGATGCGCTATATGCAGTGGCGAAGTCACGTGAGGGCGAGGAGTGGCGGCCGCCACTTCCCTCGTCAGAAAACATGACTGGAGCTCTGGTTCAACCCCTCCCCTCGCCGGAAAACCTAACTGGTTCAACCCTTCCAAACCGGAGGGGAGAGCTTTGAGGATGAGATGAGGTGGGACTGACGGAAAGAGGCTGGAAAAGAAGACGAGAGTGAGGTTGTAGGACGGCAGAGGTTGGAAGAGGTGAGGGTTGGTCAACCATGTCTGGTGGGGTTTATGGGAGGAAGAACAATGTTGTTTGGTTATCAAGTTATGGGAGCAAGTAGGATGTTTGGTTATCAAAATAGCAGGAGCTTGGAGCAATCAAATGGACAGGTGTAGCATTTCTATTAAGCTATATAATGGTCAGTAAAAATGGTTTACCAACCTATCAGTAGGCAAGTATTATCCGTTTGGTTATCAGGATAGCAAGAATTTAGGTGTGAGTTTTAAAGACAAGTGTCGGACAATTATTGGGCCACCTAAGTTAGTAAAAATTGGGTAATAACACCTTATCCTAGTATTATCCTGTTGACCGTTTGTTTACTTTTTTTTTCTCTCTTAAAATATTGTGTTGACCACTACTTCTCTTCCGGTCTTCATCTTTCTCCCCCACTTGTTTGTTTACCTATTTCCCCCCCTTTTTTTTTCTCTTTTGACCCCACCTTTTTTTGTGATTTATTAACCCATATCTCTCTTCTTTTTTTCTTTCTTTTTATTCTTGTATGTATTTTTATTTTCTCTTTTAAGATTTCTACCGTATTTATCTTAAACTCTCACATTATTTATAAATATTGTATCACTTTTTTAAAATAATGTAAATATTGTTTAATGCTTATTTTATGATAATTTAAATCCATATAGGCTCCTACCTGCTAGGTCCCAATTCGCTGTTTGACTAGCGCCTAACAATTTTTAGGATGTAATCCTAGCCAATTTAAGTTTCTTACATTGGCTTTGATACTATTGTTTACAACTACTTTGGTAGAGAGACTATTTTCTAGTATGAATATTGACTCAAAACTTTGCACTCTCTAATGTGAAAGCAACCACTTCGATTGAATCTTGCACTCTTTTGAATTTCTCCCATTCCCTTGGCAAATCATGGCTTCGCCACTGGCTATATGTTACTTATAATATAGTTGGGAAAAGGTTTTTTTTTTTCTTTTCAAGTATCATTCAAATTGTATAATTACATGTGATATTCTGCCCCAAGTTTCGAGTAGAGTTGGCCCACCACCACCTTATGGGTCTTGAGTGATTTGGATGACAAGTAATTGTCTTTGTAGATAATAGTGGTTTGGAATTTAGATGGTCCTTGTTTGAAGCAAGAATACAACTTGCTTTGATGATTTGATCCCATAACGGCAATATGTTCGTATATTAAGTAGTTAAAAGTGTCTATTTGTGTTTTAGATCGTATGTGTTAAACATAAATTCAAAAATTTTACACGAGTTTGTAGCTACGTGCCGTCACAAAATACATTTGCTATTGCAGAACGATGGCAAATATGGCATCAAAATAGAAAGCGACGGTAGACAGCTGCCAACAATCTTGACGGCTATAATTTTTATGAATATGTCCTTGGATTCGTTCGATCCCAACCTTATTAGCACCAAAGGTATACTAATCAACGGGCCCTTGAAAACTACTTTCTTTTGTGACAAAATAAACCAAGCCTAATCGGTGGGGTCGCCTTTTTACATATTTCATTAAGTTGATGGATACGGGTCAAATGCCGTCGCAAAAAGGAATTTGGGATAAAAAAAAAATTTAATGATCATGCATTTCTTTTTGAATATGTTCTTGGATTCATTCGATCCCAACCTTATAAGCACCAAAGGTATACTAATCAACGGGGCCCTCGAAAACTACTTTCTTTTGTGACAAAATAAACCAAGCCTAATCGGTAGGGTCGTCTTTTTACATATTTCATTAACACTATATTTGGATGAAGAAATTTACGATTACTAAGAAATTTTAAAATGACGGAAATTTAAATGATGGAATTTTATTTTATAGAATTTGTGAATTTTCTTGTTTGAGTAACCTAAAAGAACAATGGAATTGAATACGGAATTTGTTGTTTTTAAACTCTCAATCATAGAAATTGGAAAATAACACCTATTTACATGAAATTTTAACTTGGGAATTGAAGGTCCCAAATTCCAAGTTTTTTTCCATGCGGAAATTCTAAATTTCTATGTTTATGAATCCAAACAAAGGAATTGGTGCATGTCACTTTACAAAATCTGTTTTTAATTCAAATTCCAAGTTTATTTCCCTCATCCAAACATAGTGTAAGTTGATGGAGACGGACCAAATGCCGTCGCAAAAAGGAATTTGGGATAAAAAAAAATAAAAAATTTAATGATCATGCATTTCTTTTTCCCTGATAAAACTATGAGTTCCATGTCTGTTTGGTTACCCTTATTTCAAAAATTATCATACATCAAGATCCATCTGTTTTTTTTTTTCGGAAAATGATTTTCGCATTCCCGTTTTCATTTCTGCATTCTTTGATTCGTTGCTAGCAGTTGGATCTTAATAAATAAAATGAGAGAATCGAAGAAAGGAAACAAAGGGGGGAGTGGAACGGAAACAAAAAGAGGAGTGCAGAAGGAAAAACGGAGTGCGAATAGCATTCCCAATTCGAATGTCGTACTTAAATGCAGACAAGGCGTGGTTGATATTTTATATAAAAGATGACAATTGACAGTGGCCCTGCTCCAGCTAAGAGCCTAAAATTTGGTCATATTAGATACATATCACGACAAACTGTCAATTTTCCGTCACCAAAAGTAAGGGGTGATTCAAGGTTCACAGTACAGGTATGGTTTTCGGAACTAGGATGTACATTGTACACTGTCCATCATGGCTCCTCTTTCATCTGCCTGAGACGTTTACTTTTACGGCATTGTTCCGGTTCAGTCCTGATGGATGAACGGCTGCTTCTACGCTTCCCTTTTTCGTGCTCTGGTTCATCCTTGGGGACAACAGATGGCATTGAACTTCCTGAATTCTCCTTAAGTTGTTCCAGCTTAACGATCTCTGATTCAATGTCCTTGAACGGGAACTCAGACTCGAGGTTGTGGTCTTTGATGTATCGAATCAGATCTCTCAGCTCGGCTATTTGGTTGCCTAAAATTTCATCCTGTGAGCAAAATTAAGCCATGAAAGATGTACAATTTCTGTTATTACACTGAGCGTGGTTCCGATTTAAGTATTTAAGCAAATAGCTATGGGATGTCAAGAAGAGTAAAGCTACCTTTTCATCAAGTGATTCTTCTTCCAGCCATATTGTGCGGTATGACTTTCGTGCATCCTCCACATAATCTTTCAAGAGTAGTGCGGGCGAGAACTTGCCATTTAACTTGAAGGCACACATGAATTTAACAGCGTCGATGACCTGTTTCCTTTCAATGAGATTCTGAACAACATCTGTTATGTTTAACACAAAGTTGGAATCATTAGACTGCTCCACAGAAGTTTCAAAAGGACAATTGCACACTTAAAGAAGTTATCATTAGCAAAAGCATTAAAAATAAATAACGTTGACAACTGCGTTGTACGCTATTTTCCCAGTTAGCTTTTGTTTCGGAGACTCAAAACAAAAAAGATTCTATTCCATCAATCGCTTTTTTCTATTTGCCTTTTTCTCTTTATATTTTTATATTCTTTTGATTCATTTGCCTTTTCCATTTCCATTTGCCTGTTCCTCTAAGTGATCAAACGGAGAATCCCAGTGATGACAACACGATTCATGAAACTCTCATCCGAGGAGAGGACAACAGTTCCCCGACAAACTAAATATCAACCATCAAAAGATACACTTGTGTGGAAATTTGTTAAGCTTCCGAACAACCCTATATATATATACAACAACAACAACAACAAAGCCTTTTCCCACTAAGTGGGGTCGGCTATATGAATCCTAGAACGCCATTGCGCTCGGTTTTGTGTCATGTCCTCCGTTAGATCCAAGTAATCAAGTCTTTTCTTAGGGTCTCTTCCAAAGTTTTCCTAGGTCTTCCTCTACCCCTTCGGCCCTGAACTTCTGTCCCGTAGTCACATTTTCGAACCGGAGCGTCAGTAGGCCTTCTTTGCACATGTCCAAACCACCGGAACCGATTTTCTCTCATATTTCCTTCAATTTTGGCTATTCCTACTTTACCTTGGATATCCTCATTCCCAATCTTATCCTTTCTCGTGTGCCCATACATCCCACGAAGCATCCTCATCTCCGCTACACCCATTTTTTGTGTACATGTTGATGCTTCACCGCCCAACATTCTGTGCCATACAACATCGTTGGCCTTATTGCCGTCCTATAAAATTTTCCCTTGAGCTTCAGTGGCCTACGACGATCACACAACACGCCGGATACACTCTTACACTTCATCCATCCAGCTTGGATTCTATGGTTGAGATCTCCATCTAATTCTCCGTTCTCTTGCAAGATAGATCCTAGGTAGCGAAAACGGTCACTTTTTGTGATCTTCGCTAGATTGCTCCGGTCATTAGTGTGGATAAGTATATAAATGGATAGAGATAGGAAAGCAAACACAAGATGTACGTGATTCACCCAGATTGGCTACGTCCACGGAATAGAGGAGTTCTCATTAATTGTGAAGGGTTTACACAAGTACATAGGTTCAAGCTCTCCTTTAGGGAGTACAAGTGAATGATTTAGTACAAATGACATTAGGAAATATTGTGGGAGAATGATCTCGTAACCACGAAACTTCTAAGTCCCGGAGTGTGGTATCGGCTTGACTTTCCTTATCTGTCTCATAGGTAGATGTGGAATCTTCTCTGGAAGTACTCTTCCTCCATCCAGGGGTGGTATCTGTAACTGGTGGAGATGCACAAGGTAATGTATCAATGTCACTTGAAGCTTACTTGTAGTTTCAGGCTTGGTCAAGCGCGATACAAACCATGTAGTAGGAGTCCCCCAAGTCGCCGAGCTAGGGGATCTGCTGAAAGAGGTAACAGACAAGGTAAGCAATCAGAGCTCCGGCTGATTGTTCACATTCTCCCTATCTTGCAGGCAGCATGAAGGATAAAGAGAAGAAAAATGAGAAGAGATGATATGGGATACTTTTGCTTTTGAAGAAGTAACTTTCCACAGGCTTATTCTTGAACTGGGCTGGAGGGTTTTCTGGTTTCCTCCAAAGTATAAGGCCGACTGAAGAATTTGAGGGTCAAAACAAGTCCATCAAATCTAGAGTACGTTCGACCCTGCTGATATGGGATACTTTTGCTTTTGACAGAGTAGTGGATATATCGGCACGTGTGCTGTTACGCTTGTCTCCACATGCTTCCTTGTATCCTTCTCACTTGCCCTATCCTCAGGCAGATGCGGTATCTTCCTTGGAAGCATAAGATGTTGAAGATGAGTACTCGAGAGCAATGCCAGGGTAAGGGGTTCCAGGCAGTCAGTTCCTGGCTGGAAGCTTGATTCCAAGTGCTGACTGATTGCTCTCTTTCTCCTTGTCTTGCAGGTAAGAACAAGGCCAAAGGAAAAGACAGGGAAAAAGCATGATATGGGATACTCTTGCTTTTAACCCTGGTGATATGAGATATTCTTGCTCTAGTATAGCTTGTTTACAGAGGTATTATCGGGGGGAAAGAAAGCTGAATATTTTGAAAGGCTTCGTTGGGAGTGCCCTCTCAGATAAGAGGAAGGGTTGAGCATTTTTGCAGGTCTGCCTGTCCGTTGGGGATGGAGGTCGCCATATATAGGAGTCTCCCTAACATCAAGTAATAATGCTATTCCTTTACCCTGCTTGGTCATAGCACGGTAGTGGGAGCTGCCAGCTTCACAAGTTTTAACTCTGTCAGAGCACTTTGAAAAAGTGGTCTGTGGTATCTGGAAAGCTGATGTTGCGTGTGAAGATTACAGACAAGCTTTATCCAAGGAGATCCGGCTCTTGAAGTTGGGAAAGTGGTGCCTCTTCGGTTTTCGAACAAGCAATCCTGTCGGGGATCTGGCTCTCGAGATTCGGAGAACGATGCCTCTTCGATTTTTGAGAAAGCAATCATGCTGGGGGTCTGGCTCTCGAGATTCGGAGAGCGGTGTCTTCGATTTTTGAGAAAGCAATCATGCTGGGGGTCTGGCTCTCGAGATTCGGAGAGCGGTGTCTTCGATTTTTTGAGAAAGTAATCATGTTGGGAGTTGGGAGTGTTTTCTCGAATATGAGTAAAGGTTGGGCATGTTTGCTAGTCTACCTTGCCACGAAGCACAGAGGTTGACACACAGGGACTTTCCAATTATCCAGCAGTGGTACTGTTCCTTTACCCTCTCTTCAATTTTTGAGAAAGTAATCATGTTAGGGAGTCTGGCTCTCGAGATTCGGAGGGCGGTGCCTCTTCGATTTTGGAGCAAGCAATCTTGTTGGGGGTGTTTTTCTCGAATGTGAGTAAAGGTTGGGCATGTTTGCTAGTCTACCTTGCCACGAAGCACAGAGGATGACACACAGGGACTTTCAAATTATCCAGCAGTGGTACTGTTCCTTTACCCTCTATTCGATTTTTGAGAAAGTAATCATGTTGGGAATCTGGCTCTCGAGATTCGGAGGGCGATGCCTCTTCAATTTTGGGGCAAGCAATCTTGTTGGGAGTGTTTTCTCGAATGTGAGTAAAGGTTGGGCATGTTTGCTAGTCTATCTTGCCATGAAGCACAGAGGTTGACACACCGGGACTTTCCAATTATCCAGCAGTGGTACTGTTCCTTTACCATTGTGGGTAATAATATGGTAGCTAGGCCGTCAAAATTTATGTGTCTAAACTTTGCTAGTGTTGTTTCTTTGCTATTCTTTTACCCTTCTTGGTCAGAGCGATGTAGTGAGAGTTGCAAGCTTCACGTGTCTCGACTTTGTCAGAGAACTTTGGCAAAGTTATATGTGGTACCCATGAGCTACTGTTGCGTGTGGGAAGTGGGTGATTGAACAGTACGATTCATGTGCTTTCTACTTCGCCAGAAATCTTCGACAGAATGCCCATAATTTCCGCAAAGCTGAGTGTGCGTGTGACAGGTGCTGACAAGGCTGGAAAAGTAGTCTCAACTTTGTCAGAGAACTTTGGCAAAGTTATATGTGGTACCCATGAGCTACTGTTGCGTGTGGGAAGTGGGTGATTGAACAGTACGATTCATGTGCTTTTCTACTTCGCCAGAAATCTTCGACAGAATGCCCATAATTTCCGCAAAGCTGAGTGTGCGTGTGACAGGTGCTGACAAAGGCTGGAAAAGTAGGTGCCTCTTCGATTTCTGAGATCGACCCTCGTGGTCTCTGAGCAGCCCAGCTTTTGAGAAAGCAAACCTCTTCGATTTCTGAAATCGGCCCTCGTGGTCTCTGAGCAGCCCAGCTTTTGAGAAAGCAAACCTCTTCGATTTCTGAGATCGGCCCTCGTGGTCTCTGAGCAGCCCAGCTTTTGAGAAAGCAAACCTCTTCGATTTCTGAGATCGGCCTTCGTGGTCTTTGAGCAGCCCAGCTTTTGAGAAAGCAAACGCCTCTTCGATTTCTGAGATCGACCCTCGTGGTCTCTGAGCAGCCCAGCTTTTGAGAAAGCAAACGCCTCTTCGATTTCTGAAGCTTCGTCGAGTGCAGATTTTTATAGAGGCTAACATTAAGTTCCAAAGCACACTTGAATATCCACCTGTAGAAGCTCCATTCTTGCACTTCTAAGAACTTGATTTGTCCGACCTCTTCTCTCTTCTACACCTTTGAAAAATGTCTGGCCCCTCCGACCGTCGTTTTGACTTGAACCTTGTTGAAGAGGCAGCCCCCGCCTTCTCCAGACAACATATGGCGCCCATCCTTCGTCTCCCCTACTGGTCCTCTTACCGTTGGGGATTCCGTGATGAAGAATGATATGACCGCTGCGGTAGTGGCCAGGAACCTTCTCACTCCCAAAGATAACAGACTACTTTCCAAACGGTCTGATGAGTTGGCTGTTAAGGATTCTCTGGCTCTTAGTGTGTTCAGTGTGCAGGTTCTGTGTCTAATATGGCACAACGCCTATTTGCTCGAACCCGCCAAGTTGAATCATTGGCGGCTGAAGTGATGAGTCTCAAACAGGAGATTAGAGGGCTCAAGCATGAGAATAAACAGTTGCACCGGCTCGCACATGACTATGCTACAAACATGAAGAGGAAGCTTGACCAGATGAAGGAATCTGATGGTCAGGTTTTACTTGATCATCAGAGATTTGTGGGTTTGTTCCAAAGGCATTTATTGCCTTCGTCTTCTAGGGCTGTACCGCGTAATGAAGCTCCAAATGATCAACCTCTGATGCCTCCTCCTTCTAGGGGTTCTGTCCAGTACTGAGGCTCCGAATGATCCCCCTCCGGTGCCTTCTCTTTCTGGGGCTCTACCGACTGCTGAGACTTCTCCTAAGCAACCTTTGTGAAGGCTCCCTCTTGTTTGTTTATTTTGACTCAAGTATATGTACATATTTGTAATTTATCAAGATATCAATAAATAAGCTTTCCTTCATTTCAACGTATTGTGTTAAATCACCAAAG